GGGAAGAGACGCAGAAAAAAGGCATGGTGATATGCAAACAAACAGCGCATCCGCTCGCTTATCTGTGTGAAAACTCTAGCAGCAAGACTTTGACGCAGGGCTCTCTGTGCTGCCATCAGCTTGCCTCCGTTTTACAAATCTGTGCTCCAACATGGCTCCACTCAGCCTTTTCCACTCAGAACTCTGGGGTCTCCTAAAGGCTTCCTTGACTCTGGTTAGGGCATATGACTCTGATGAGTCATGTGCTCAGAAGTCTTAACACACAGCCTGAAGAAGAAACGAGTGTTGACTCTGATGTCTGGGTCAGAGCTTCTCAACCTCGAATCACCGAGGATCCTACCGCATTACTTATTTTTCTACGTGCTGTGATAAAATCCCCCAAAAAAGTAACTTGAAAAATGAAGTCTCCTTTCCATTCTCCTTTCTACAGCTGCCGTGGGCGATCTGAGAAGGAACATAGGCCCTCAAGAACGCTGGTCAGTCAAGTACTCTGCCACTGAGCCGCATGCAGCACGAAGGGCTGGTTTTGGCTCACTCCTTGAAGGTTCAGTCTCTCTTGAATGGTGGGGGAAGCAGCCAGTAATATTGTGTCCACAGTCAGGAAACAGAGATAGATGAAATCACCAGCTCTATGTTTTTTTTTAAGATTTATTTATTTTATGTATATGAATACTGTTTTCATGCACAGCAGAAGAGGGAATCAGATTCTATTACAGATGGTTGTGAGCCACCATGTGGGTGCTGGGAATTAAACTCAGGACCTCTGGAAGAACAGCCAGTGCTCTTAACCGCTGAGCCATCTCTCCGGCCCCTGGCTCTATGTTTTTAAATAACACTTTAATCATTTTTAATTTTGTCTCTGAGGGTTTTGGCTGTGTGTATCTCTATGCACCATGTGTGTGCCTGATACACACAAAAGCCAAAAATAAGTATTGGACTCTCTGGAATGGAGTTGCAGACTATTGTGAGCCACTGTGTGGGTGCTGTTAAGCCATCCCTTCCCTGGCACTCTAGGATGGAAAGAAAATCCTAGGGCTTGCTGGCCAGCCAGTCTAGTCAAATTGGTTCAGTGAGAGACTCTGTCTCAAAAATTAAGGTGGAATTCTGAAGAAGATGCCTCAACATGCGCATGTTCTTGTACACAAATGTACACGCACATGAACACAAAGAAGCAAAAACTGTCTTAGTTACCTTTCTATTGCTGTGAAGAAGCGCCACGACCAAAGCGAAGTATAGGAGAGTTTGTTGAGGCTCGCTCATAGTGTCAGAGGGTGAGTCCATGACCAGCATGGCAGCAAGCATGGCAGCAGGCAGACATGGCACAGGAGCAGCAGCTGGGGGATTCCATCCTTATCTGCAAGCAGAAGGCAGAAGGAGAGAGCTAACTGGGAGGGTCGTGGGCTTTTGAAGCCTCAAAGTCTGTCTGCCCAGGGGATGTATCTCCTCCAACAAGCCCCATCATCTAATCCTTTCCCAACAGTTGCACCAGCCAGGAACCAACTGTTCAAATATATGAGCTGTGGAGGGCACACTCATTCAAACCATACACATACATACACACACTAAAATAAAATAAGAAGACCTAAGACCTCTCAGGTCCTGCTCTAGAACTAACCCATCAGACCCTGCTCTTCAGCAGGTGTGGTGAGTACTCTTGAGCTGCACCTTGGTGGGATTTAGACTCCCCTGGAAGGAAACCCTCTGATTGTGCCTTTAAGGGCATTTCCAGAGAGGTTTAATGAGATTGGAAGAAGACCCACCCTGAATTTGGACTGCACCATTCCATAGTCTTGGGTTCTAGACTCAACAAAAAGAGAAAAATCAGGGGCTGGAGAGGTGGCTCAGCAGTTGAGAGCACTGGCTGCTCTTCCAGAGGACTCAGGTTCCATTTTCAACCACCCACATGGTGGCTCACCTGTAACTCCAGTTCCAGGGAATCCGATGCCCTCTTCTCTCCTCCATGAAAAATGCATGTATATGGTGCACAGGCATACATGCAAGCAAAACACACACACACACACACACACACACATCAAAAGTTTCTGTGGGGAAAGAGGATTCTTATTTACTGCTAGTGAGCATGTAAACTGGTACAACCACTGTGGAAATTAATATAGAGATTTTTCAAAAACAACAACAACAACAACAAAACAAAAGTAGAACTACCAGATGACCCAGCTCTGTCACTCTTGGGTATGTATCTAAGGACTCTCAGGTGCTGAATTCTGTGCTGTAAGGTTGGCTCAGTGTGGGGGTTCACAGAGGTTAAAGTTATTTTATATAACTGTGTTTGTTTCTCAGTTTCTCTCTTAACCCAGCTATTACACAAATAATTGGGACTCTAGTACAATATTTGAACAAGATTCACAACATAAGAACAGGGCAGTTATTAATGTATTCTCAGCCCTCAAAGCTACCTTGGCTTACATCCCAGAGATACTTGAACTTTGTAGCTTTTCTACTCCAGCTCCTCTCCTGATGTTTCCTGGACCTCTCCCCTGGCTAAATCCCCTACTTTCTCGTCTAACTCCTCCTCCCCTGGCTGGCAGAAGTCCAGCCCTATTCTCTCCCCTGCTCAGCAGTTGGCTATAAGCTGCTTTATTGACATATCAGGGAACAACTGGGAGCAGTGTTTATAGAACATTGAGAAAGGAGATTCTAACCAGGATTCTAACCAGATATTGTTGGTACAGAAATGAGCGTTTGAATGATACCATAGCCTTATGCCTACACACTGAAGCACCAACCAAAGAGCTTACATGGGCTGGACCTAGAGCAGATGGCAATTCGGTCATCATGTGGGTCCCCTAACAATGGGAGTAGAAACTGTGTCTGACTCTGTTACCTGCCTTTGGATCTCTTTTTCCTAACTGGGCTACCTTGTCTGGCCTCAGTGGGAGAAGATGCTCCTAGTCCTGCTGTGACTTGAGATGCCAGGGTGGTTGTTAGCCCTTAGGGGCCTCCCCTTCTCTGAGAAGAAGGAGAAGGAAGTGATGGGAGAAGGGGATCATGAAGCATGAGGGCAGGAATGGAAGGAGAGGAGGGATGGGGCTCGGATCAGGCTGTAAAGTGATTAAATAAAATTTAATTTTTTTTAAAGTTGGCTCAGTGGTTAGGAGCTCCTGTTGCTCTTGAAGAGGACCCACATTCAGTTCCCAGCACCCACATGGTGGCTCAGAACCATTTATAACCCCAAGGGTTTCAACACCCTCTTCTGACCTCTGTGGACCCTAGGCATGCATGTGGGTGAACACGTGAACACATGCAGACAAAACACTCATACACACAGCATAAAAATTGTTTTAAACAATTAAAGAATACTGGAGTTCTGATAAATTGTATTTCCGATACCTTCCCATCAAAGAGAGGCTGCATATCTTATGGGGGTGGGGATGCTGATGCTATTGGCTCGGGACCATGGCCTTCAGTAGCAGGCTTCCAGAGCAGCTCGGTCTGGTGGCAACCAGCCTCATGTAGCAACTGAGCACTTGAACTGTGGCTGCTCAAAGCTGAGATGAGCTGCAAGTGTGGGGTACACTAGAATGAGGCCAGCGGGGTCTGAACTAGGGGAAGAGGAAGCATGGAGACCACACAGTCACCCTGCTGGCTCATCACCACTTCCTTTCTCATCTCCTTTCGAGCAGCTTCCTGAAGCAGATGTGCAACCCTGCTTTTCCACTTGCCCAATCCACTGCACAGGCAATCGCTACTCTGCTCCTCCTAACATATTTCAGTCTAACACTCTTTCCTGCCCAGACCCAAGCTGGGGCCCTGCTGCAGCCCGAGGTCCACGGCTCCAGCCATCTGTGCCAAGCCCCAAAGGTCGTCTCTGACCATTTCATTCTCCGTCTTCTAAATGCCTATCACTTACCTCATCCACGTAGATCTTTCCCTCCCTGTGTCTCCTGCCTTAAGGTTTGCCCCATCCAGTCTAGCACCTCTCAGTGCCCTGTCTTCAAAACTTGGAGGGTAGATCGCCTTTGGTCTAGCCAGCATACCTGCTGCCCAGGCCTCTACCATCTGGTCCCAGTGTGGTTTTGACTCCCCTGAATTTGTGTCTTGATTCTTTTCCTGGAGTCTAATTTCCTTTAGAACAGAGTATGACTGGCTTTTATATTCTGCCTGGTCCTGGTCCTATGGAACAAGCAGATCCTCAAAAGTCAAGTTCTGAAATGCAATGGTGATTGGAAATACATGTACTTTCAGAGATGCAGAAATGACAAATGTTCCTTTAAAATTTAAAGAGCTGGGTTTGGTGACATACGCGTCTTTAATGCCAGCACTCAGAAGACAGAAGCAGGTAGACCTTTGTGAGTTTGAGGCCAGCCTGGTCTATATAAGTTCCAGGACAGTCAGACCTACATAGAAAATCGCTGTTTCAAAAAAAAAAAAAATTAACAATTTTTAAAACCTTTCTTGACAGTATCTCGCTATGTTTCCTAAACAGGGGGGCTTAAGCAGTTCTCCTGCCTCCGTCTCACAAGTAGCTGGGACTATTGGCACAGCATCTCACCTAGCTCTAAAACTTTCTGTCTTGAGAGTTACAGATCTTGAGGAAGTTGGGAAGGTAATCGGCGTTCTTATGCTCTTCACTCAATGTCCTTCTGTCTCAAGAGCACAATGTGACATCAGTATTACATGTGTAGCTCCTGGCCACCGGATACAGGTGACATCACAGTCAAGGTCTAGACAGTGATCTAGCCATAGTTTGTCTAACATGGATCCTGAGGGTTCAGTTCTTGGCATTGTATCCAAGCAGCAGGGCCTAGAACATGGTCTCACCTAGGAAAGCCTCAGGCTGGTGAGGGGAAGCAGATGTCTGGAGCTGATGATAGCCCTTGCTCCACCTGGTACCGGCTGAAGCCAGCCCATGAGGCTGGGGCTCAGCCATCTGGAAGCCCCAGGGGACATCATGTTACAAAGCAGCTACTCTTACCTGAGAAAGCCATAGCCTAGCCCTCACTCCCACACCCCTTAACACAAATAGTCACATGTACACGTTCTCAAAATAGAATACTTTTTATTTACCTTTCAAATGCAGAAGTACAAAGGACAGACATGAGCCTTTCTTCCATCTATCTCGCTGAAGTTCTCATACAGTCTATACAACAGGCATAGAAGACACTTTCTCCAGATTGCTTTAAAATGTCTGCTATCAAGCACTGGAGTGTTTCACGAGGTTACTCTAAGGGCCTCCATTCCTCCCGAGACACTGAGGGCAGCACATTTTCTTTTGGATTCAGGACCGAGGGGTGGGCCCTGAGAGGGACCACGACTTTGCCCCTATGCCAGAGAGCTTGGGAGGAATACACCAACCACCTTACTGGGGAGCAAACAGCTGAGCTTGCAGCTGATTTCTGCTGTTGAGCTTCTCCTTTTTCAATCTTCAGTTCACTAACGGCCCAAATGCTGTCATGTTTGGGGCCTTTCTAGACTTTGCTGTCAATGACTGGGGAAGAGAGGGAAGAAAGCACCAGTGCCCACATCTTTGTCTTCTCTTGGAAGACAGCAATAGGACCTCATGTAGCCCAAGCTGACCTTGTGTAGCCAAGGATAGCTTTGAACTCCTGGTTCTCCTGCCTCACCCTCCCAAATGCCGGAATTGTAGGCACATGCTCCTACCTGTGCCATGAGTACCCCATTCTTGTCCAGACCCCCCTGAGGGTAGAACTCTTCCACGCAGCCATTCTTGGGAGCTGTCCCAAAGGAAACACATGTGTGCAGATGCCTGTGCGTGTGAGGGAGCATGTGTGTACTTACATGTATCTACATGAACAAGACTGTTTGGGGACACATGCCTCCATCCTGGGGGCAGGATGTTTTTGTGTTTTTGCTGCTTGTTAACAAAGTAGGTAATTGAGGTACAGCAAGTTGGTAGAAAGTCTCTGTCTTGATGAGCCGAAGGGTGGGGTGGAAGGTTCCCTGATGACACTGTCCTGATGGCCCCGGTGGCCCAGCTCAGAGGACAGGATCCCACCTGAGGCTGGACAGAACTGAGATGTGCACAGAGGCATGGGTGGGTGGGAGTGAGAGGCAGTCTCAGGTGCTCAGGCCAGTCACCTCTGAACATGGGCAGAGGCTGAGAGGAGTCAAAGATGCAGACAGGGCAGCATGGGTGCATCCAGCTCCGAGTCAGCCCCTCTTCCCCTCTGCCCTGTGGGAGGAGGAAAGGGGGTTTAAGGCACACAGGTGAAAGCAGCTGTCCTGGCAAGCCTGCGGTGCCTTTAACAGCCAGCATGTGGTCCTATAACCAGCTCTCCTTCAGCCCAGACTGTCCCTCCTAGGTCAGAGCAGCATTTCACCATGTTCCCTGCCTGATCGCCGTAGCCTATCTCTCAGGTGGAGGAGACACTGAGGCCAAAGATGGCTGAGATGTAGCTCAGGTGGCCTGAGACTCCACCAACCCAATGATCACTATGCTGGCTGACAACAGGCGAGTAAGAATGTCACTTGGAGTCACAGGCTCCATTCAAGACCTGAGACACAGGGTCCAGATGATGTCTGGCTACAGAAGATGTTAGGGATGAGCGGACCACGGTTCCCTCCTACAGTGTCAGAGGAGGCAAGCAGAACAGCAGGGACAGACTGACAGACCTAGGACTCCCAGGACCATCTTCAGGGCAGGGACAAAGCCTTGGCAAGGCGGGTCCAGAACCAGGACTTGGTGCAAGGATTGGTATAGTCGCAGGTGGTGATGAACCTCAGGATACTGGGGAACTCCTTCTTCATCACCTTGTACTTGATGGGAATCAGCCTCTTCTGTTGGACACCTGGAGGCCAGAAAGTGTGTTGTTGGGACCAGGCCCCTACCTGTGGTAGGGCAGATGCAATCCCGAGAGCAAGTGCTACCACCGGCTCTCCACCAGCTAGGAACCCACGGTCCACACCCACTATGTGAGGAAGCGCAAACAGGCACAACCTCTCAGATGGCTGCTGTGCCCTGGTCTTGCACTCTTGGTCTGGCATCTTAAGGCTACACCTCCCCTCCCCGTTCTGACCAAAGGAGGGCTAAGCTTACCTGGAGAGAGGCTGAGGGCAAACTTGGTCTGGAAGTCACATTCCTTGCTCTGTAGGTAATCGTCAGAAACAACCACCACCATGCGACGACACCTGAGACAGCGGCAGAGTTCAGGCACCGTCCTTCTGGAGGGTGGCCTCAGCAAGCGCCACATTACCCAGGTTAGACAGAGCCCAGCTAGCAGGGCCATCCCAGCATCTGGACCTCTGGGTTCCATGCACTCACCCACCTGCCCCTTAGATGACCAACCAACCTTTTCTCAATGAGCTCACTGGCAATGGACCAGACGCAGGTGCCTGGCAGGACATCACGGTCGGACACACACAGCTTCAGCCGATAGTCTGTCTGTTCGAGCTGCCGGATCATCTCCTGCACAAATTCAATATCACTGGGGCAGTAGCAGATGAAGGCGTCGAAAAGCTCCGGTGTCTGTCCTGAGGACAGGGGACAAGAGAACCGGTCAGCCTCCTGAAGAAAGTCTGGAAGGAGCCCAGCCCGGAGTCTTAAAGGGAATCTGGGCCTTCACCCATCCCAAAGTGATGTCATACCCATGCCCTTCCCACCAGCGGAAAGATAGCGCCCTCCCAGATGAAATCTGGGTTAAACCGTGATGGGGGCCTGCTGTGCCAGTCTCTGACCCACTCTGAGATAGGACTGCGATTGCCCCATTTCTTGGATGGGGAAATCAAGGCTCTGAAAGAATGAGTGACTTGCCCAGGTCCCAGGTCCATCCACCTGCTTCCAATATCCACGCTCGACACGACACACATTCCGGGGCTGTGGCCCACCTGTTCTATCCAGGGGAACAACGAGGGGCCCTTACCCAGGGGGTCATCAAGAGTCGTGATGCCGCCCAGCTCCTTTGTTTGTGGGACACTGCTTTCCACTCTGGGCACCTGCAAAGGCTTCTCAGACTCCTGCTTCTGCTTATTTACTAAGTATTTCCTGCAGTCATCCTCTGTGGAGAAGAGACAGGGTGTAGAAGGCTTCTCTGCTGCCCCAGCTGCTGTACACACTCAGAATACCATGTTTGTTCCATGGGCCTACTTGGGCCTTCTTCAGCCACTGGTGCACCGGCAGCTCTACAGCTCTGACAAACTGACACTCCCTTTCCGACCCTCCCAAAATGGGCACCTGGGAGACCTCCAGAGTCAGGTTGACCCCTGCATCTCTGACACTTCATCCTGCACCCCCTTTCTAACGCTCCTGAGAATGATACCAAGCTGGGCATCTTGCAGGGTGCAAGGCAGTGGGAGCACAGGCTTGATTTCCAGAAGGGCCCAGGCACCTCACTAGTGCCCAGTGGGGATGGTGACCCCCATCTAGCAAGGTGTACCCAACTGTGTGGGCAGGGGCGTTGTGTTGAGTGACAGGGGGGCCTTTAGTCCCTCACTTGTGCTCCTCACACAACTGAGATACCCCTAGAAAAGCAGATACTGATTCCTGGGCCAACTGAAGGCCCATTCCACATCCCTTCCCTGTCTTAGGGTTCTTGAGCCCTCCCTCCCCAGCTCACCCCAGAAAAATTGATACGCTAAGGCCAGCCTCCGGCACAAGGCCAGGAAACGTGCTTCCTCACCGATGAGGTCCTTCAGTTCCAGCAGTATATCTTGACGGTCCAGCAGCGTCAGCATGTCTAGTAGCCTACCGACCGACGCGCCAGAGCGCCCCTGCCAGGCATCCAACAGACTGCGGGTGGGGTCGGGGCGACTCTCCAGTTCTCGGATCTCCAAGTACTCGAAGCCCATCTCCTCCGCCAGCGAGGTCCAGTCGGCCGCCACCAGCGTCCGTAGGTTCAAGAACAGCGAGAGGCGGCGCCGCACTCCCACGTTGAGCGCGGCCAAGGGGAGGGAGTACATGGAGGAGTCCAGGCGCACGGATCCCACGCGAGGGCTTCTTTCCGACATGGCGAGCCACCCCCGACCCCGGTGCGCTGGCCTTGTTGAGCTTCCTACTTCCCCTACGACTCCTGTCAGGCCCTCCTTCTTTCGCTTTCCGAGAAGCTCCGCCCCTTGCTAGAATCCGGAGTCCGCACTGGAGAGCAGTTGGGGTGCCCTGCCACTGCCCTGGGAGGGGGCGAGAGAGAGGGAGCAAGGGAAGGAGGAAAGGAGGGAGGGAAGGAGTCTGAATACAGGTTTGAATCCCGCCCCGCCCCCCCGACTCGTGTTTCTAAACTTTGCTCACCTCCTCTTGAAGGCGTGAGAATCTGGACAAACGCCTCTGACATCTGTCTATCTCTCCGCGCTCACCAAACCTGGGCGACTGGGTAGTGCTGGCTACGCGTGGTGAGGGGGATCAGCGTTGTTTACAGCCCTCCCATACGATAACCTATATTCTGGTAAGAGGCGCAGACTGGCTTTGGAAGTAGCAACGTGAAGCTCAAGCTGCCTTTATCCATCTGGCGCAAGTGGTGCCTCTGTTTTCTTTTCTTTCTTTCTTTCTTTCTTTCTTTCTTTCTTTCTTTCTTTCTTT